CTCTCTCTCTCTCTCTCTCTCTCTCTCTCTCTCTCTCTCTCTCTCTCTCTCTCTCTCTCTCTCTCCTTTTGTCTATCTGCCCCTCTACTCTGTGTCTCTCTCTCCGCTTCGCATCATCTCTCCATCCGTGTATCTAATTCTCGTTCTCCCGTCCCATCTCCCTGCCCCCCCGCCTCACGCCGACAGCGCAAGGTCGACCACAAGCGAGACGTGATCGGACGGAAACGTTTCCGATGGCAAACCGGGAGTCGTCGCTCTCAGCGGCCCCTCCTCGGGCATCGGCGCAACAGCCGCCGCCGCTCCCCCCCCCCCCCCCCCCCCCCCCCCCCCCCCCCCCCCCCCCCCCCCCCCCCCCNCTCTGCTGCTGTGGTCGGCGCGCCGTTGTCCGCCCCCGCCCCCTCGATGAAAACGTAGTCCAGAGTCTCGGTGAACTCGGGGGTGAAGTTGGTGAAGGCCGGGGTGCCCGAGGCGAGCTGAAGGTCGAGAGGCGTTCTCAGGCAGGGGACGTTCCGAAGAAACGGCGATGGTTTCGCCTTGGAGCCAGCGACACTGTGGTGCGAGGCACGGGTGGTTTCGTTGTCGTTGTTGTTGGTAGCGTTGTTCGGTCTCGGAGACGCCGTCGAAGCTTTCCCGTCGGGTATTCTCGATGTTGGCGACGGGGGTGGTAATGGTGGCGGTGTTGATGTTGCCGCGGCTCCGGAAGTGGTGGGGAGCTCGTCGAAGAAACGGTCGCCCCTGCGCGTTCGTTTGTTTCGGTGGTGCAATTCGGTATTTGTTTTTTTTTAAGAAGAAAAACAACGCCTCCCACAAAAGAAAAAAAAAATAAGAAAATAGCAGCCAGAGAAGAGTTCGCAGCAAAAGGCCTGGAACAAAGGGCGAAGAGAAAGAACAAATTGCGAAGCCGGTGCGAGGTTTCTAGGGAATGTTGCACGATCGATCTCGGTTTGGAGTGCGTGTTTAACAGACGGCACCTGTATTGAGGAAACCGGGGGCCGTTCTCGGCGTGTGCTAAAGAGCTACTCTTGTCCAACAAAAAACGAAACACGGGGACAATTAGGACTTTGAGGCCGCTGACGTTTGTTTTCATAGTCGTCCATCCTTGGTGGCCTTCCTGGGTTTGTAGCAGCTTCCACTCAACGCGTACATACAGGTCTATTTTGAGTTCGGAGGAGGTGCCGGCGCTTTTGCATTTATGCAGAACACCTTCGTTTAGGCATAGCGTACAAGCCTCGAGGCACAATCCAGCTCGGCAAAGTCTGCTGACATGCTTGATTGGAGCACACAGCTGCCGATGGACATGGGTGACAACCAGGCAGCTGCAACTTTGGCACGCGAACGATTCGGTAAGATCTGTTAATAGTTTGGAACTCCGTGACACATGCGCGGCAACAGGGACAAGGGGGGAGAGGCGAGGGGGGGG